CCGGGGGAGTCTAGCAAATCAATGTGTTCCGTAACCACCTGCGTATGATTTGGTGTACGGCATTTTGGCATACATGGAAGTACGTCGTACAGGTTGCCACATTGGGTGGATAGGTAGGTGGCCACGGTTGATATCTGTCTGTCTGTCTGTCTGTCTGGATGAGCGGTTCAGATCAATGTCCCCGATCTTCGCCCCCCACCCCATTCCCCTACACAAACCCGCACGCACCTGCGCCGCTCGCTCATTCAACGGCTGTAGCACCTCCGTCATCCACAATCGGTACATACGCGCCTCGGGACCGTCAGGGTTAGCTTGTACGGCAGCCTGGAAGGCCTCCTGTGTACGACAGTAAGTACACAGAGCACAATACGGTTTCACCATTGTTATGACACTACTGCGCCGCAGAATGGTAACGCCCCCACCCCGGGCCCATCACGTGATCCGGCCAGCAGTCTACAGCCCCCACTCTCTTAGCTTTTAGGGTTTCAGGGTTTTAAGGTTCGGAAGCTTGAAAAAGGCTAATGGTATTATACGATAGGAGGCTTATGAGGGAGGAGGGGGAAGGGGGGAGGTGAGGGGGGAGGTGAGGGGGGAAGTGAAGTCTTTGTCGACGAAAACGCTCTTTCCTAGCCACCTAGCCACCTGGACCCCCTCGCCCGACCCACCTTATTTCCGTCCGGGCTATGCTGCTTGACCATGGCGTGAAAGGCGGATCGCGAGGCCGTGACGCTGGATAAAAGCGGGCCGTACAGGTGCTTAAGCTGTGGTGTACGACACGTAGGGCACGTACGATATGTAGAGCAAAGCACATGGGGGACGAAAACTCGTCATCGCAGGAAGGGAGGCGGACGGATAGGCAGGCGGATGGGCGAAGGATCATCATGTGCGGCGTGCGTATGTGCGTATGTATGCACAGCAAGGTGTTGGGAACGGGTATGCGTGTCGTTCTCGGGTTTGTTGGGTTTGGGAAGAGGATGGGGATTGTGAGGTGGCGAGTAAGGGAAATGGAATAGGGGTCACATCCGGCCTGTCACAGACTGAAAGCTGCCCTAGTCTGTGCCCCCTTGCGGGGCACTGCCGGACCTGCTTGTTCACCCGATCAATCCGCGCCTTGCGCTCCTCTATGCTCTTTGCGTTGAAGTATGCAAATAAATACCCTGGGCATGTCACCATTAACAATATGCAGAAGTGAGCGGTGTGTCGGACCGTATGAATTTCGGAGCAGGTTAGCCCACCCGCCGCAAGGGCCCAAAAGCCTCCACCCATTGAAGCAATTTTTCCTGGATTAGTTAGCAGGTCACGGCAAGCCAAAGAATCCTTCCTTCGCCTGTGTCGGAGTCAAGAGGAGCCCTCCTATTGAAATAATGTACAATAACCCAATTGAACCTTCCAAACTTTACAGAATCACCGAATCTATACTTGTTATTATGCTCCCATGTTATCGGACTGTATTGTTGCTCACAACTTGAACTGGTCGACCCTGCCTTACACGCCGTGCTAACGTCCATGTGGTAATTGATGGAACTTTTAGCTTCGGCCGTATTAATTCTAGTATAGTGACAGCTTGGCCATGGCTGCCGAGAGCGCCGGTGCGCCTCTTAGCGAGGCTAATTTGCTAGCCCTGACCGGCGAGGAAGCACTGGAGGACATTCGAGAATTAACTTTGCGTAACCATAAGTTACAAACTTTTGACCATGGGGAAACTGCACGGCTCATTAATTTGCAAGTCATGTCGCTTTCCCACAACGTTTTGAGCTCCCTTGCCGGATTTCATCACCTTAAGCACTTAGTGAGCTTGAACCTCAACTTCAATGCCCTCACCAGCTTGGAGGGCATCAGTAGCTGCATCGCCCTACAACATTTGTTTGTGGCGAACAATCGCGTCAGGGATGTCAGCCCGCTGGTGCCATGCACCCAGTTACAGACCCTGCACCTACTCCGGAACAACATAGCAAACTTGGATATGACGTTGCTCGCGCTCGCTAGCCTCACAAAACTCCAGGAATTGGAGCTAGCAGGGAACCCATGCTCACTGGCACAGGACTACAAGCACCGGGTAGTGCTGCAGCTCAACCTTCAGAGCCTGGACGGCGACGCTATCACGCAGCTGGACTATGACCTAGCAAACGAGTATTTTGCGGCCAATGGTGGCGTGCCGATGGGCTTGGGCCCACGGGTCGACATCTTAACGCTGGAGGAGGTCGAAGGCACAGGTGCAGCTTCAGCAACCGGGGCCCCAGAGGCCTCGTCCAAAGACAGCTCCGAATCGGCTAACGGCAAAGCCACATCCGCATCTACTGCCGCCGTCGCCGCCACCGCCGCACAGGACGTTGTCACGTCCGCAGTCGCAGCCGTGCGCAACTCCAGCTGCGGGAACTTGGCGCCGCACAGCAGCAGCACCCTTGAAACCAACGGTCGACCAACCACCACCGCCGCATGGCCGTCCCTTCCTCGCCCGGACAGCGCCTCAACACGCTCCGTGCCGGCCAGTCCTGGCCCAGGTCTAACCCCAGCCGGGACCTCGCCTCTGCCCCAGCCAATGCTGCCGAGGCCCGGCACCGCGACACGGCGGCCGAGCAGCGCCGCCACCGCTGTCGCCGCCGCCACGGGTCCCTCGGGCCGCCCTGGCAGCGCCTACTCGGGCCATACGGCCCCGATGCAGCTTCTAAGCAACGAAATCCTCAACGACCACCCGTTGGTTATCGAATACTTGGCCAAGCACGTCCTAATGGAGGGCCAGGCTCTAGCGGAGCAGCATAGCGGGGCCCTGGGGAGGCCCGCAAGCGGCGGATCGACTGGCGGTGGAGGGGGCGGGCCGGCGAGGGGGCCAACGTTTGCGCAGCGCCTTCGCGACACAGCCGCGGCCATGAACGCGTGTGAGGACGTCGACCCGAAGACGCTGGCGGAGCAGCAGCAGGAGCTGATCGCAACGTCATCGACTGTACGGCGCGGCATGGCGGAGGAGCTGGTGGCGTCGGCAAGTCCCCATGAGTTGTGCCGGCAGCTCATACGGCTCTGTGAGGTGAGGTGAGGGGCCGAATCAACCACACCGATGTCCGGTCACTGGTAGTGGTGGTGGGTATTTTATGCAGGAAGCATATAATCAATAACCGGCGTGTAAAGCACCAGACTGCTGGAGGGCTGGGAAGGGGCCAGATGCCATGTGTAGCATGTGGACACTGGGGTTGTGGGCGCTCGTTGGCGTTTGGACTGTACAGCTTGCGGTGGTCTGCGGTGCTTGGCTTGATCGGAAATTGGTCAGCTTTATTGCTTTGTTGGGAGGGAGGTGCGCAGGGCTCGGCTCTCTTGCCCTGGGAATCTAGCAGGGTGTGTGTCTTTGTTCGCGGCTAGTTGCTAGTCTCCACTCCGCGACGAGGATGACACGAAGAACACAATACAACAATCATTCTGTATGGGCTAGGAGGTTGAGTCTCAGTCATGGACGGCGGCGAACCATGTGGTGTTGTTGTCAACCGGGTGGGGTCTTACCCAGAAAGTGAGACCTGGGAGATCTGGGTCGACCCGGCGTTTACTGAAGGCGCTATAAGCCCAATGAAATGTCCATGTGTGGAAAGGACAGCCCATCTGCCATAACAGCGACCTCAAAGAGGCGCGGATTTTCTTCGCGTGCAAGACCCCGCGAATGCGGGAACCCCATGATGGTGCATGCAGTGTGCGACATAGCTCAGAGAGTGCCATACTACAGCCGCTGGGTTTCGAGGATGTCATGGCTTGCTAGACCATTAAACATGGCATGTCATGGCATGTGCTCATTTCACAGGTTTTGATCAAGGAGGTCGAGGCGTGCAGGGCAGGGCGGCCGGCGAGCAGTGGGCATACCACCAGACCGGCGACAGCAATTGGGCAACGCCCCATGACAGCAGGTGCGTGTTCGCTGTCACGATGACATAACCGTTACGTCGGGCTAAGGTATGGCTACCAATATGATGCTGTATTTATTTGTATTTATCGCAAAGTCTTGTCCGCTACAGTTTCCATGTTCTTGGCAGGCTTCAAAGGGCGTGGCTCTACGTGTGGTGTGGTGCCCGTAGGATTGCATTCCAGCTTAAGCTCGGTTCCAACCTCATCCGCGTTGGCGCCTGTTGAAATTGGAGAGCTTGTTCAGCTTCGAGCCGATGTCGAGCGATTGTGCCGTGAGAACAAGGCGTTACGGCTCGAGAACGAGAACATGTACTGGCTGGTGGAGGAGGTTAAGCGGTTGAAAGCGGAGCGGGCAGGGTCTTCGGGGCGATGAAGTGCGAAGATGAGGTGTATATCAGTTTTAAGTATTAACGGACTGTACAAGCTTTGTCCACACAAGCAATTCAACTGGCTGGTGATTTGCCGTACAATACTGTGTAAGCATGTATTGGTGTAAGGCTAGCAATGTTTTACATGCTGTGCACGATATTTACTACTAGTGGAAACATCATGCAGCAGTTGCAAGCACAGCGGATCACCCGCGGGAGGACGTATGTTAACGCAAATTGGGTGCCTCTAGGCCTTGGCCGGACGTGCGCACCGGCTTTCACTGCGTCTACTTGTAAGAAGTTCTGCATGACAGCATGTCGGCGAGGGAAGGTTCAAGTGCGCGCAACGGAAGAGTCAGGTAGATAAGGACCACACACATCAGCTCTATCAGAGAATCCGCATCAGTCCTTCATGCGCTCCCTGCTGCCGCTTTGCAGTTGAGGTGAAACCACTGGCTTCCACCAGCTCATCTGCTGAGGATATCGATAACTGGGTGCCTGTATGCCGGCCAGAGGACCTCCCAAAGGGTACGGAGCCTATACTCAAATTTCATGCCAATATCAATTTACTGATAAAGGATTATAACTTTCTACAGGCGTGCGAAAAGAGGTTGACGTTGATGGACGTCAAGTGCTTATGTTCTGGTATCGCAACCAGATCTACTGCATCGAGGCACGCTCGCCTGCCGAGGGCGCATATAGTGAAGGTTTTATCAAGGCAAAGTTCACGCAGGTAGCGCTTCATGCTGCACGAGCACGCTGTCCGTTTTCACAAGCATTGCTAAAACACAATTGTTACTGGATACGCAATCTCTTCCGCGCGCAGGATTACTGCATTGAATGCCCCTCCACCGGGAGCCTGTTTTCCTTAAAGGATGGCTCGATCGTGTCGTGGTACCCTCAGAACCCCGTCCTCCGGATCCTTACCCCAGCTAGCTACTGCCGGCCTATGGAGGTGAATGCTTTTTTCTCTACTGCTGGTGCACCCCACAGTGCGCAAACCGCACGCCTTTAGGCTGGTATCACTTGTTCACGGCTTTAGCGTTGTTCTGGATGTGTACAATTTCTGCTGGAAGTAACCGGTTCTAGTGGGACTAATTCCTTTTTTTTTGCTTGTGGAGGGTAGCAGTATGGATGTGCTCATGTTTTGCTGTCGTTGTAACTGTCGGCCATATTGGTACCGGGAGTTGCTGGACATGCAATGCATTCTGTGCCTCGTCGTGCAATGCTGGGCATTCCCGTGGGGCCTAGTCCATGGGGTTCCCATGGGTTGCCACCAGGAGCCCCAGTTCATTATTTACCGGACGCGTCCTCTCTTGACCGGAACTTGAGCAGGATATCGATCCTGGCTTTGGTACCTCTGAAATGTGGCCATAAAAGTGCGCTAGGGACGGCCGTCCACCGATTATTTTGGTTTGGGTTTTGGTCTAGGCCGGCTGGGCAGCGATCGCGTGATCACGCAATTGCCCGGTTGTGCTGCCATTGCACGTATAGCATGCCCGTAAACGCATGAAGTTGACTGAAGTGAGCGACGTGCCTGCAAGCTGTGTCCTTTGAACGCTGCATGTGCTTTGCTTTGCCTGCTACTTGCTGCTGCAGATCTACCCGGTGAAGTTGACACAGGAGGCGATTTACGTGGACGTGGAGAGTGGCACGCTAGGGGGCATTCGCTCGGCTCGCGGGCGCGGAGGCGCAGGCACGTCGGTTGAGAACAACAACGTGTTCACGGTGCAGCCCACTGTTTACTTTGAGGGCATGGATCCGACCAAGGAGTCTGCCAGCGTGTATGCCGACGCGTCGGCGGGTGATGCTTTCAACCCTGTGGTGCTCATCACGGGCATCGTGGCCGTCGGTATGACTGCTGTAGCGGGAACAGCTTTTGCGATTTACTATGAGAACTTGACGGCTCTGATTGCTTTCTGGGTCATTTTTGGACTGGCCGTTGGCGTCGCGGGCTTCTCCTACGTCAACAAGCAGTTCAAGGGCGATGCGTGATGAGTGGAGCGGTTGCGGGTGATTTCGTGGGTGTGTCGGGGTTTTCAATAGGCGCCTCAGCTGTCGGGACGGGATGCTGATGCCGGTGCCTTGATCGTGTCGTGAAGTGGTGGCTGTTGCATGCACGGATACATTGGATGCATGTGTACATGTATGGGTGAATGGGTGGATGAATGTCTATGTTTTATGTCGACGAACGAAAACGTTTCCTAACCGCTGTGCTGACATTTTGGTGCTGGCCTGGTGGCCTTTTTCGCGAGTTAGGCATCACAACAAGGTGACGCAGGCTCATGCAGTTTTCAAGGAGTTTCAAAACCACGTGTTTTAGCCCTTTCGGGTTTGGGCACCCAATTACCTGGGGCTGCTTGGAGAGGTTAGCAGGCCCACATACATGTTTAATTTATGTTCCCTTTGTCGCGGGCATAAAGTAGCTAGCTCATGGGCTAGATTCGCGTTCGAAGGTAGTACTGCATGTTGATTAAGTGCTCGTCCTGTAGTGTAGTACGGCAAGTGCGGCGCGGGAGGAGCAGACCGGAATTGGCCAGAGGACAGTGACTGATACGGTAGTGCGTTACAAAGATTAGCTGGGAACAAAGCGCTGAATCCAGACAACGCTAGTTCGCCAGTCAACCGTGCAAGCAAGCGCAAGTCAGAACGTCGTCTGTTGGGGATTTTGAATTGTTTAAATAGTGATTTACTTTGTATTCGGGACCCAGCTCAATAGTAAAGTAGATAAGGCGATTTGACGTTGCTGGCATATCGGTCGCCAGTAACAGCGAAGTGATGGCAGAGCGCGAGCAATCGCGCGGCGGAGGCCAAGAAGGCTTGGAGGACATCCTCCAACAGCGGGACGAAGGAGGACACCAGAATGGCGGAGCACCTAGTTACCCGGAGGGGGCCGATGCGGTGAGTAACAGACGCCAGCTATTGC